ATTCCATTGAAAAACAACATTTGAAAAAAAAAATTATATGTGTTTTTATTTATTCAATTATTTATAATGAATATTTCCTTCCTATAGTTGTACAAAAAAAGACTAATATCTATTGAATTTTTATGTGATAAATTAGGATAAAAGTGAAGATAAAATTATGTGTTAATTGTACATTGTTTATTTATTATTTTTAGATTTTGAATGATATTTATATATGGAATGTATTAGTTAAACAACAATGTTTTTAATTTCATTAATTATTATTTTTGTTTTGTAAATACTCGAATAATATCTGGATAAAGGGCTCAAAATGTTTAAATTTTCCCATTTTTAAGCGTTATTTTTTAATTTTTTTTTCAATGATTTCTGTTAGCTTAAAAAAAGATTGATTTATACAGTTTTACTATTCAACTTATCTTAAATAAAATTGCAAATTTTTGTTCAGATGTGTAACTACTAAATCAATGATTGTTGACCTTAATCATAAATTTTGGTTACTATTGATATTTATTATAAATACAAAAATAATGAATATATAATATTGTAAAATATTCAAAATTCTTTTTAAAAAAAAAACATCTAATGTTATGCACAAAAACAATTATAAAATGTAGAAAAATAAATATATATTTAGGTATTAGGACTAATAAATAATATTTAAAACATGGCTAAAATCTAGTTAGCAATTTGACTTTAAAATGTCAATTATGTACAACAATTTCTCTAATGAAAAAACAATTTATGGATGAGTTTAGTTGATGACTTATTGATAATAAGATAATATTTTGGCATATTAGCATTATCACAATAGAGATTATAATGTGTACTGTACCATTATCTTACAAACAATAGGTATTTGACTATGACAATGACAATAAATACATACATTAATTAATATTCAATTTTATTTTTAATATTATTTAAAATATAAAGGTTGATAAAAAAATAAAAATAATAGTATTTTTCATACTAAAATATATAATAAACATGTAAAACTTCATATATAAACTCCTATTAAGCATAATGGTTGAGGTTAGTACTCAAAAAAGTTTGAGTTTATTGCAATCAAAGTTTTTACAAAATATATCCCAGTTAATTTAGAAAGAATTCCTTTGGAATAAATTATATTATTAAAGTTTACAATAAGTGAATCTTTGAAAAGTCTAGTGTTTTTAGAAATACTTGAACATGTTTAAATAGTAACAGATATACAACTTTTGATTCTGATTTGCTTTTTAAAATATTGAGAAATTATATTAATGTTTTCTTTATAATTGCATCATATGAATGTATTATGGTAGGCAATGTCTGAATATTAATAAGGTAAGTATTACTAAAATATGACTTAATCTATGGGCAGCACTTTAAGTTTAAAATACCTATGCAATATTATTCTCATAATACATAAGTGTTAGTAATAAGAATGTAATTATTACTCAATTTAAGATGATTTATAGATTATAAATATGTTGATATATAGGCCATAATATTAGGCATATTATGCCTGACCCCAAATACATACTCCATAGCAGATAAAGGACTGCATTAATGAAATACAGTAAACACTTAGTTTCAATTTTTAAAAATTTTATTTTTTTTTTAAAAAATTTTAAATGTGCAAACAATTTTTAATAGAAATTAAATTCAAAAAATAATTATGTCTCCTCAATAAATTTTGATATTTTATTGAATTTTGAAAAAAACATATCAGATGATTGAAATTTTCACCGAATGTTTGTTTACCTATTATTTTCATTATACAAAAAATAATTTTTTAGTTTTTTTTTTTTCCATAAATGTCGATAAAATATTAGTCGGGTCAAAATTTTTAAAAATGTAATGCATCATCACACAAAAGTTATTCTCATATCTGTTCAAAAAGCTTGAAAATTTATTACAAAACCCCAAATAAATGATATTTATTCCTTACAATTGTAATAGTTTAAAAATATTCTACATGAGTATAATTTTATTTCATACGCGTTTGAAGTTTAATTTTTTTAAACTTTAATAAAAATCGTTTGAATCACGAATATTTAAAATTGTTTTATAGCCAAAAATGTATAACTAATAACTAACACTTAAACATTTAATAGAAGACATCTCGTAAGTTGTCTTTACAGAAATTTACAAATCTCAGAAAAAAATGTTCATATTTTTTTTTATAAATATTTAAAGTAAAATATCAACCTTTGTTTAATTCATTGAAGGTAATTCAAAAATAATATTAATAGATTTTTCAAAATATTTAGATTAATATTAAGCCGGTTGCTTTGTACATGCATACAGTTACAGTATACCACGAAACTATTTACACCAGTTTACGATGAGTCTGTATTGACTCTAAAGTGAATAAATTTCATAAATACTGGTGCCTACTGTAATATAAAATATTAATACGAATAGTACAGTAAATCAATTTTAAAATAATATCAAAAAACATAATATTTTAAAATATGTACTTTTAGAGTAATAGGTATAAGCTGATGTGCCTTCTTAGTTCAGTATCGTTTTTCATGAGCAATAATTAAAAAGTTAAAATTTAATTTAAATTTAACACATCTATTACAGTGACCTACTCTATGACGAGATACACTCGATGCATACCATATTATGGCAAAGTGATTACTTATTTTCCTACCTTTTTTATAAATCTTTTTTGCAATGAAGTAAAAATTAATATGCATTGAAAAATTTTTGTTTTTTACTTATACGATCAAAAATAACTTCAACGATATTTTATAATATGAAGGTAAAATAAAATACAATTATATGCTAGTGAATAATACTATTTTTTTTTTTAATTAACTATTTCTATTTGAGGCCAGTTTAAATTCTTGTCTCATAATTTTTTTCCGACCTTATACACAACTTACACAGATTTAAATGTATTCACTACGGGATTTTTTAGCCGGAATTTCTCAAAAGTCAAAAATCGAGAATATAATATATACCAGAGTGCTAAGACTAACATATTCACAACGTCGCCGAGGAAAATGAAAAATTGTATTAGTGGCTAAGAAGCATGTAGTTATAACCTAGCAAGTATGGAATTACGTTAGGTAATATTGTAGACCGAACGATAGAAAATAAAATAAATAGATTAGGTTATATAAATTATAAATATTTTTTATAGACAAAACATTTAAAACATATCAGAAAATTTCATTTGGTAACATTTAAAAAAAGTGGTTTAAAATTAGATGTTAATATAGAACAAGTTAAAATTTATCAAAAAAAAAGTACGAGTAGAGATCGTTATTTCACTCTTCTTGCAATTATTGAACTCTCTGAACTTAAAGTTATTACGAATGGTTATATTTATTGTCTGTACTTTTCATAAGCCTTAAAAATATTTTATTGTTATTACTCATTACTGAAATACCTAGGTAGATTGCGAGTTTACCACATAGCCTGTCTCGGTTACCCATTTACAACATTACCCATTGGCCAGTAGGTATAAAGATTAAAGAGATGGTTAATACCTGATCAAGGGATCTAAAGCATACACTATATTTTTCGTTGAGCATTGTTATTTTTGTTATTAAAAATATTAAATATTTTAATGTCTCTGGTTGTAATAATAGTATGGTGCTTATACACAGATTCGTTCAGTAAAAAATAAATGCAGTAGAAACCGTTTGTAATAATGGCATCGATTATAATGACAAACTGGGTTTAATGACTGTATAGGTTCCGGAAAAACATCTATACTGTATGTACTAATATTAATGTCGATTATTACGACGACTGAGTAAAGATTAATCGGATGTCATGACGATTATTTACAGATAAATTGGAAAACAATGTTTGATTGATAAAATTATATAAATATATGATATGAGTAATATATGATTTTTGTACAAATTAAGACAATTTTTTTTAATAAATACAAATGTATAGTGTAGAACAATAATACAACTTTTTTTTTTCTTTTTTATGTATGTAGGTATTGAAGTAAGTAATGATTTAGTGGTAATAATAAAACATATTAATTTTAGTTCAATATTATGTTTATATACATTTATAATCCAGTTTTAAATTTTATTTATCATTTTAGTTATAATGACAATCGGTTAAGACTAATTTCGACTAATACTCTGAATGTCATAAACTATTTCTACTGTATGTTCTTCCCCATTTTTTCATTTTATATTAAATTTATTTTAATTTGAAATTTTTAAAATTTTTAAATACTATTTTAAAATTATTGAAACTTACTTAGGTATATGCTGTGGCGATAGGTACTATCCATTATTTTTCAAATGAAACTCCTCTTATGTATTGTATATTATTGTTAGTAGATCATTTTTTTTTAATTATTCATTTAAGCAGTAAACACATAATTTAAAATTTTTATAATTAGTTTTTTAGTTAATGAATTGATTTAATTAAGATTAAGAATAAAATCCCTTAAAAATTAATTTACAAAAATACTAAATTTTATATGTAATATTGGATCGAGTATTTATTATAGGTACCTATTTGAACAATTTTTATATATTAGAAATATTAAATATTTATAGATTTATCAAATCCATTATCCTTGCTACATAAAGTCAATTTTGATTTAAATACGTTAAAATAATGTTAAATAATTTAGGTACTGTTTTAAAGGGTTATTGTCATTTAAAAAACTGATGGTATTGTATCTTCACAAAATTTACTTTAGTATTATAAACTATTTCAAACACTTAAAAATATAATCTTTAAATATGTCTAAAGTTTTAAACTCCAGATTTAAAGAAAAACTACATTATTGAAGAAAAAAGGGATACATGGCTGCTGCTTGATGAATTAATCTGTATTTTTTATACCCTTTATTGCGTTGACAAATATCATCAAGGAGTCTTATCACGCGTGAATGTGTGATTATTATTGTTTATTTTGTGATTATACAATATTATTATCAATTTCAGTGTTATCTTAGTATTTAGATAGTCCACCCCAATACCTCATAAATAATATAGACAATATAGTTGGAAATGGTTTTAATTTCTTTCTATTAGAATGGATTTTTGTTTATCTATCTGTCTAATAACTTTAAAATTTGATTATTTTTAATATTATTCATGGTAAAATGTTATACAATCTGTGGTTTGTATAAGCAAACAGTATTGTAAGGTATGTCAAAAAACTGTTTCGTTATGGTGTTGTCGGAAAGCGATCTAAAAAGAAATGATGGTGAACAAATTGTTAATGATACATTCTATTGCCCTGTCTTGGGTTGTAAATATAACTTGCATTTTGGCCAATCTATGAAATCTTTTAAAACTCAAAAACTTCTCAAACAAGTAAGTTTAATAGCTTGTAAAATATGTTATACAAATTCTACTGTTAATATATTTTTGTTTTTTTTTCAATTTTATAGCACTGTATCAAAGTGCATTCTGATAAAAAATACAAATGTGATAATTGTGAAAAAGGTTTTCCTTTAGAATCAACATTAAAGTCTCATCGTATAACATGTGGAGTAATATATTCTTGTTATTGTGGGGTTCAATACAAATCTCCAGAAGCATTTCTTACTCATACAAAACGAAAACAACATAACATTGGATTAGGATATTCAACTATTATGAAGTTTGATATATTTTATAAATCGTTTGTAAAATTTTTTGTTTATTCTTATGTTTTTTGTAAATAGATTTTTGAAGACAAGAAAATTATTGCCAAACACAGAAGATTTACAAGAATTAGAATCTAGTAAAAGATCTACTCAGACTCAGACTGTTACTGATATTCAAACTCTATCAGATTCATCAACTCAGACTACATTTGAAAATAAGGATTGCATGTTAAGATACAATGATCCAAAACTCTCTTCTGCTACTTCTAGTCCTATAAGACGGTTATGTGCGCAGACTCAAACTGATCCTATGGGTGATTCTATTAAAAATGATCCAGATCCAATGTTTTTAGATTCAGAAACACAAACCAATTTTGAATTTTTAGACATCTATACTCAAACTGCTGAGTCTGAATGCTTATTTGGTGATTTAGAATTTACAAATATTCAAACACAGACACCTTGTAGTTCTTTATTTCACGATGATTTCGTTGGCACGAGAAATGATAATTCTATACACACAAATGTGATATGATTTAATTAAAATCAGAAATCAAATTTTTGTGGGTAACATACCAAATAGGTTTTAAGTTTTAAATTTAATTGAATTTTCTTATAGACAGTGTATAAACCATTGCTTGATTAGTGCAATAATTAGTCATTTTATTTTTGATAATAACCTAACCTAACCTATAGTTTTGTAGTTTTGAAATTTCTAGTATGTTAATTGCATATTATATAAATGCATATGTGTGAGCAGACATTATTAAAAAAATGCAAGTTAAATGCATTCTTCTCTTGTCATTTGCTTACCTCTCTAAAGTAATCATATATATTTATACAATTTTTTTATTTTCTAATGATTATTTTGAGGTTTTAATATTACTGGTACTTTGTTGTCATTTATATTGACACATATTACATATGATTATTAAGCTGCTGTTATTTTAAATCATTATTTCAAATAACAATAATCCTTTATTAACATATTGAATATTCTTTTGTATAAAATATATTTTTTTTTAAATTCTATAAAATGGCTAATGATTAATTATTTATAATAATGTATCAAATAATAAATAATTATTTTAAAAACAAATTTAATAATTGTTTGTTAAAAATGTACCGAAGAAATTTTTAATAATGGTATTTAAGGGACCAAGAAAAACAGGTAGTATTAACTGATAGTTAATCAAAATTCAATAATGTTATTACAAAAAATTATATATATTATTATTATATTTTAATCAAAAGTCATTCCAACTATATATTACTGTTATTAAAAAAAAGAAATATTTTTATTTATATTAAAAAATTTATTATTTTTGCTAACATATTTTTATTTTTTTTTATTGTGCAGTATTTTTGTTTCTAATTTTTTCTAATTGTTTTTAGATCTTATATTATTAATAAATAATAACTATACAAATGACACTGGTTGTTCAATATATATTTTTTTTTATTTTAAAATTTATTATTGTCATAAATTGTCAATAATATGGACTATATATTTCATAAACATTATATATATGCTGTTTGTTTAAATTCATTTATACCATATTATGTTATATGAGTTTTTTTGGGATCTTTAATTTTACATCTTTAAACCCAGCATGTTACTATCAGTGCCATTTTAAATATTTTTTTTTGTTTATAAGTATAAACAACTATTATTATTGCTTATAAATATTTCATTAAAATTATCTATTTACCTACCTATGTATAAACATTTGAATTATTTATAATTTATGTTATATTTATTGATGAAATATTTGTGGTTTTTTCATAATAATAATATATTATGTAATTAGATATGATCATAAAAAGTATTTATAATATTTAAAAGAGTTAATGACATACTCGTTGCCCGTTGGTTTAAATTATCATTATTAGAGAACTAGATATTTTTAAAAATAATTGTTTAATTTAAAGTGTAATACTAATAATACTAATAATATAATAATATAAAATATTATTATTATTTCAAAAAATAGATTGACATAGTGATACACTTTTTCTGCTCATAATTTATTTTTGTATGTATATTAATTAATATTAAATATATAAAACTTACTTTTTTGGCCATGCTTCTAACAAATTGTATAATATACATACTAAATAATCAATTTAACTTAATCAGAATTAATTAACCTATTATTAAACTTAAAATTAAGAATACTATTCAGCAAATTTCTTAGGTTTTATATTTTGATTTTAAAGCTAAAGATGATGAGAATGTCAGGATGCTATCGAGGAAATGTAAGACAGTAGGTGGAATCGGGGAGGCAACTATTGAGATATTATTTTGTATTTGGTTTTGGTACAATAAAATCCTAAGAGGATTATTTTTAATCGATATTATACTACTGTCGATGCTTTGCATTGAAGACTACTCTAACAATAAAGTTTCTACCAGATGTATTGTGTTATTAAAACATTTCATTTGAATAACTATCATCTGTCTAACCGTTGGGTTTATAGCTTATACTCATATAATATTGATACATAATTTATTTAATCATGTTCAGTATAATTTGGTTATTTCAATGTATTTAAAAAACTGGTTTGAGTTTTTAATTGAATTACAAATATGCAGAAAATAATTTTTTAATTTTAAATAATTCATTTGATATGAATAGAATATTTTGGATATACGAGTATACCATTGAAACATTGCACAGCTTCGACATAATATATGAAGAAAATCGACGAACCAGAATCACAATTGTCTGTAAAGAGTTTATTGCTTATGTCTACCCGAAGTGAAATATTTTTCTTTTATTTTGTAAGAAGTAGGTACTTAATTAAAATATCGAATTAATTTTTTATGTTGGTTTACATTAAAATTAATTGATTGATAATTAATTTTATTTATATTTAAAAAAAAAAAAATTGTATAGGTAAACATACTGAAAAATGAAATATAAATCTTATCTATGGATTACCTATGTCACTTTAATTCATCCAATATTGTTTCAAAATGAAAAAGCTTAATAATACATTGAGTTCTCATTATTAAGAAGAGCTTGTTTTTTAATTCATTAAATCCTCTAGAATTTGTGCATTTGTACTTATATGTTTCATCATACTTATATAATATGATTGTTTAAATAGCTTATTTTTTATAAAAAGTATAAAGTAAAATAGCCATACGGCATTATCGACATTTTTTATTGGATAATTTTATAAACGGTTTATTTTGTAGTATACCTGATGAGTAGGATATATAAAATGAATAAGATATTTTTTTTGTGTTCAACAAAAATATAATATTTATTTGACTATATATAGGAATAATATTGCGAACAATATGTTTATTTAAATTATATTTAATTTTGTTACATAATACTACTATATTAATAATTAATAATATAATTTCACAGTGAAATTGAATACATGTATATATATATATATATATATATATAGTTGACAATACGTATATTTGTATAATAAGTACATCTCGCTACACAAGAGTTTAAAATCAGCGATGTATAAACAACTAGTTATTAATAATATAAAATTTAAATAAATAAAAAGTATTAACTTTCATCTAATAAAGTTCAGAAAGATTTTAAAGTATGCATAGAGGTGTATAATTTACACAATTATGTAATAGATAATAATACTATTGTATTATTAATTAGGTATAATGGGTAGGCGTTTCTAACGATATATTTTAAGCATACTTGCTTACTCGATTATATCGAGAAAAATGTATTAAACGCATTTCGAATATTCATAAAAATGATTCTACTAAATAAATAAGTATTTAACAATTTTGACACTTCTAGAAAAAGAATTCAAAAAGATAATAGCTTTATTTGGTATTTGTCTAAAATAAGATAAACTAGTAGGTATGTAAAATAGTATACAATATTTTATTAATATTTATAATAATAATTTATTTATTTAATTATATTAATAATATAGATTTTTGATTTGTTTGTAAGGCTTAGGTATCGTATTTTATAATAATATTATGTTCTTAAAAAAAATATTATTTTTATTGACTTTTGGTTACAATTGTAGCGTTGTAAATGTGAACTAAGTTTTATGGAATCATAAGATAAAGACAGTTAACATGATACGTATGCTGTTATGGATATTAAAAATAAATAGTTTTTAATTAAAATGATATTTTAGAAAATTAAAGTTTTCATTAGTCGTAGATAAGTTTCTACGAATGAATTTCTTTAGGTTTTATGATAAACCGTTGGTACAAATAGTACATTACACTTACACTTCGTCGACTTGGAACGTAATTCAATATTATTGATATCCGAATATCATAAATGGCATAAAAATAATAGCATTGTACCACGTGCAAATTACTAGATAATTTATTAGAGCTATAGTAATATTTATTTATTTATAAAGATTAATTGAACAGTTAAAGATTTATTTTAAAATTAATAATAAATTTGTTTTTAATTAAAAATAAGTAAGGATTTTGATGGCATTTTTTTTTAAAGAGCTTGGGGTCCAAAAATGTTCTCTTGAACCTAAATTGCTTAAGCATATCATGACAAAAAAAAAAAAAAACAACAAAGTAATATAGTAATTTTCTTTAAAATAAATAAATTAATAACAATAATATTTTATTTACGAGTATGTTTGAGAAATTTTTATTTTTATTTAATTTAAGTTGTTGCGTATCATTTTAAGGAGGCGGAGTATATATTTTAGAGGAGAGAGAGAGAGAGCGAGAGAGAGGAGAGATAAACATATAAGAGCTAATGGTGATTTTATTTTTTATTTGAGCAGCTTGAAATTCATTATTATTTTCTAAAGGTTAAAACTAAGTCATGATAAACACGCGTGTATTCGTATAATCACATTTTTGTCAGTCACCTTATTATGTTTTATAATTTAATAAATACATTAAACATGGGCGAAAAGAACGAAATTATATATTTCGTCTCATATCACATACGATAAAATATTATTGTTATGTTATTTCATATATTATGTAATGATCATAACTGTATTGCATACAGTCATATAGCCATGAAATTTCACAGACCGTTAGAAATGTACCTATGCAATAAAAACATATACTTATACTTAAATCCAAAAATAATGCCATTTTATACGTTTAAAATTATAATAATTTTTTGTCTATATCTACAATATAGTATAATAATTTTATTATAATATGAATATTATTATTATATTTATTATTATAAATAGTTTAGTATAATGTGTATTGGTGTTTCGGTTTTTTTTTCTACTAGGCAGAAACTGATTGAAAACCTTTTGTGTAAAGAACTATGGTCAATTGAGATATTATTTATAATACTATAATATGGTATACCTAATAGGTTAATAGATTTGATGTTATTATTATTACAACTTAAAAGCTAATGGAAAATTATTCGTATGTATATCTATGAGCTATGACATGACGGAAATAGAGAAAACTGACTTGAATTTAGTCAAAACACGTTCAAAAGTATTTCAAACGTACAGATAAGCAAATAATAATAAGTAAGTACGGATGGTGGTGGATACAATGAATGGTGGTGATGGTGGCGGCGATTACTATTGCTTCGTCGTCGATTAAGAAAGATCCATTGATTCGTCCGAATTTTGCAGCACCAATTGCAGCCGTCTGTCGATTTCGGCAGCTGCCGCTGTTGCCGCCGCTACCGACGATGATGGCCCAGTGTTTGTGGTGGCCGAGGACACAGCCGCACCACCAGATCCTTCATGTGAGTCCTTGGACGGGTCCAGATCACCTCTCATTTCGCAAATGATCTTAGTTAAGGCGATGATGTAGTTTTTGGCCAAAGTGAGTGTTTCGATTTTTGATAGCCGCCGATCCTTTTTGACATGTGGTATCACCTCCCTAAGCGACTGTAACCGATATTTCATTGATTAAATATAGTAATAGTATTGAAGTGATACGAATATAGTGAAACTTAGTAGTATGACTGAAACGTATACGAGCAATGAGTGCATTACTCTCTGGAATTCTGGGAATCAGAATAGTAGTGTATAATTTCCCGCGAATTATAGTAAGTATATAGCTATGTAGGTACACAGATTTATTAAAAACTAATAAGACACAGAAAAATCGATTTAAGCTTAAAAGTTAAAATCGGCATGGAAAATGGTATTCATACGTGTACCAATCATCTATTATTTTAATTAAAAATATTATTGTGAATCTTTAAATGTTATGCATTTATACATTTTTTAAGGCATATTGGAATTTATATATTTTTAAATATTTTTTTGAAAGTTGTTTTTTTTCAGGTTCATTTGGTCGGGTTTTGTATACAACTTTTTGGACTTAATCACGTATTAATTGCTTTATAATTTTGTTATAAAAGTAAAAATTTCAATAATACATAGGACGCATATTGATTATTAATGTATATAGTTATATTTTTTCTATAGATTAAACTTTATACCGTTTACCATAATAAGATTAAATTGATCGAATTAAAATAAATTCAAAGTTGTAAATATTATTTTACTATTTTAGTATGCCTTATATATATTCGCTATAATGCAGCTTATAGAACGCTGTTTAATAATTCAATAATTTAAATTTTTGTTAATGTTGTGTTTCATTGACAAAATATATTATTTAATTATATACGGTTATTGAGCCATTCAAAAAATATGTCAGTTATACACTTATACAATATGCTAATATGCTAATAAATTGTACTTTAAAAGACAAGTACTTAACATACCACAATTATAATTTACATGTAATTATAGTGGTTATAAACTTATTGTTTATAGGATATACATACCTAGTTAATTTCTATTGTTTGTGCTATTCATCAATAACTAATAAACACATTGATAAATGATAATTTAACATTATTTATTTTGTAATTTAAATCAACGACTCTAACTGCAGTTTAGCAGTTTATCTGTCAATATTTTAAATTATTAACTTTTTAACGATAAATTTATAGATAAAATATTTGTATAATACGATATGACTGTATATAGAAGAATAGAACAGTTCTCAGTTATTTTTTTTTCAGACGGAGAGAATTGTTTGGTATATTTTGATATGGTTGCAATATAGATGTGAAAAGTAAAAATGTTGTAAAAAATATGATATTGGTGATGATTTACCAAGTATGCTTACTACATTTAATAACAAATTTATTCAAATTCTGATTTTTTAAATTTTTAAATATACTTTATATACAGACATACAGTGTCCTACAGAGATAGAATCTTCTAATTTTCAAATAAAAACCCCGTTTTTATCTGTGAATTCATCTTTTTTAGTCTTGTGTATAATATTATCATTGATAAACATATTCAACATAATTTCTCAATTTGTTTAAGGAATTAACTTGTGTGAGTTTTTTCAATTTGCTTTATTTAGATCCTGAAGTCCTGTCTTACCTACATCATCGTAGCACTGACCCTATCTTGTTATGGTTCGGCGCCGAAACCAAAAACCGTATTCTACTTCCATTTACTGCTACACTACCCAAAAGTGTAATTTCTATTTTAATCCAATGTCGCTCAAACTATATACACTATCCCTAATACACAAATACACAATTTTGATCAAAATACCATCACAAACGTCTAGGGATTAATGTATTAGTTCACAAACACAATACTGACATAGTGCTGCTGATGTTAGTTAAAAATGTTAGTATTTTTTGTTTATCGATTGAATGCATAAATCAAATTTTCAATTCTCGACAAATTCATATTCATATTTTATAATCAATACGGTTTTGGAGTAAATAAATAGATAAATATTATAGCGATATTGTGTGATTTCGTATTGGAAATTTAAAACAATTTACATTGATAGATATATGTAGATATATTATCGAACAATCTGAATTATATACAGTGATACATGTTACGGTTAGGTACTTATTTGTACGTCACACAAATGCGCACAATGCAATTCCGAGCACATTGTTTTTATTCCTCTTCAAAATTTCATAACGCCAGAGTTTACGTACATTCAATTATAGGATAATACGATGTATCCATTTATTGTTCAGTGGTTCGACTAAATGTTATTAATTTTTAATTAACGATAAACAAGTTATTTTTGTTAAATTTATTTACGTTTTTTTTTTAAAATTAAACGCCATTTTATCACTAAATAACAATCAGTTTTAATTGCTGTCTGGGAGCAATGAACGAAAACGACAAGAGTCATTATAAATGTCAAATGTTAATATTGTATTTGGTTTTATGTTTCATTGAAATGTATTAAATAAGTTTATTTAGACATATTATAATAAAAAGGTTTTAAATTGATTTTTATTGTTGATATTGTATAATCAAAAAAAAAAAAAAAATTAATTAACTTTTTTTTTTAACTACAGTTTATGGCGTTTATGTCTATACCTCTGTGTACTATCTATGTGCGAAATGTCGTAGATAAATTATATCATCATGGTACCTATCATATTATTTTTCGTTAAAATTTAGTATTTGTTTTTATACACTATGTACTTTATTACTTTATATCTTCAATGGTTTATACATTATATGATGGTTAGTAAACTGAAAAATAACTACGTTTTATTTTATATTATGTAATTTGTAATTTGCATAAAGGTTAAAAGGTACCCATAAATATTTTTGTTTAAAAAAATCGTTATACTTTCTCACATGGAAGCCAAAAGCAAATATACTCTAATTTCCATCTCTCTTGGGCATTGGCGTTATTTATGAATGGTCCATCAACAACTCTGATACAACGTTTTAGTGTAATTAAAAGGTAGTCTACGGAATCCTTATTTTTTTCCTGCACCCTCTTGATGTATATATTAGTTTATTGTAGTATGTAACAACTACAAACACATATATATATATATAACAATTGAATTTTCCGATGTTACCATAGTAACTGGTGAAGTGTATAACCGTTTATCTTGTCCTTTGTGTAACACATAAACAAATCATCGTTATTCCTGTAACCCTACGCGCCCGACATCGCTGCACTTCACGATTAAACAAACAGTTCTTCTTCATTTTTATACTAAAAGCCTTTCGAAACAATCGCTTCATTTGAACTTCTGCCTTGCTTATACACTGTATCAAAGTGGTATTTTAATAACTGAATATCAGCAATATTTAAGTTGCCCGCCAGCCTATTTCACATTATTCTACAAGTGGAACTTTTCATTTTGTTCAATAGCTAATATTTATTGCTAATCGGCATCATATACATTGTATATATTAATATGTTATTGTTATTTTAATATTCAGATGAACAACAACGTGGAATGGTATCAGTAGACATGATGATAGTAATCCACAGCATGCATGTGTACTAAACATTTTCCATAATAAATGTTTTAAGACCATTGTTAAAATATGTATTATTATTAAATTATTATTTATTTTACACGTATAGATGCCTCATTACGATATAATGACGATACAAAGTATTTTATGAATAAATTATTATCTCAAGTTACGTTCCTCGTGAATATCAAATATGTGGCGCGCACTGGGTAGGTATTGTAATAGGGTTGTGTTCACGTAGATAGATTATAGACAGTGTCCTTATTATAATCCTGTATTCCTGTCCAGCGTGTTTAGCTTTTTACTTACACGTACATATATTAATATTGTTGTTATATATATTATGATGAAATATATCGGTACATAGTACATACGCATTAGCTAATTGTCTAAAGTTCAATAAGAACAATAATTAGGTACGTACGAAATTATTTTTTTTACTCGCGAGATGATTCATAAAATAAATCTGATTTTAGAGGGACAATGCTAGTGATCAGTTGCAAACCTAGGGGGGTAGACCCCAGGTCCAGACCCCTCCCTTGGTTTATATCATAATATTTATTTTTATTTTTTAAATTTACCCTGAAATTTTCATATAATTGTATTGATTAGATTAATTATTAGATTTGGTATTTTGTTAATAACACGTCGAATTCGATGTATAGATAAAATCAATATTAAGACTAATATCTAATGACTATACTATAATTTAACTGTCATAATAATAATATTTAATTGACAAAAATTGTAAATATAAATTTTAAAATTTTAAAAAATATATATATTAAATAACATAATTTTGTTTGTTAAGGAATTAAATTTATGTATTATTTAAGGAAAAGAACAGAAAAACAGTAGATGAATCAATTTTTTGGACCCCCTCCTTGAATAAATCTTGGTTGCGTTACTGCTAGTGATCAAGCTATATTGAATATTGCGAATACTAATAGTAATATGCATCCTTACCCAACCATCGTAAACGAAAAACAGCTGTTACAAATATGGTGTCATATAAAAATGTGTTCAGTTAATTAAAACTGTAAAATTAAATGAAAAAAATAATAATTTATAGTGAAAGTTTTTTTTTTTACTATTCCTTGTTTTCAATAAATTTTAAAATTATAATTTATATATATATATTATGCTACCTAACTAAATTGTTTTCATCTTTTAGTTTAAATTAAATTATTAATAGAATAAACTACTATAAATAAATAAGATTTGTAAAAATAAATTTAAAAATAGAAATTTGCCTTATGAATAATAAATAACAACTAGTCGAAGTATAAATTGTGAATTGTATTAAAAATAAAATAATGCATAATGCAGTTTTTCAACTCTTCTTCCTTTTAACATTATATATTATGTTTACGGTTTATATACGTTTAGTTTCTTAGTAGTTTTTCTTTAATAACATTATTCATTAACTCTAAGATTAAAATGTTCATTTAAATTTTTAATACAAGTAATTTAAATTATAAAAATGATTGTAGAATAATTTTAAGACATGGCATAAGCGTCTTTAATTATTACGCAGATTTAATTTGTTATTTATCGTTATGAAAGTATTTCAAAATATTATTGATATAATTTTTTTGTGTTAATTTAAAATATTTTGAAAAATGTAATAAAAAAAAATAAATACTTACATAATTTTATACCCCGAATATTTGGCTTAATAATTCTCAAGTTTATTTTGAAAATAAATTTTAGGTACTTCATGAATCTACTGGTAACAACCTATTTATTGTTAGTTGTTACTTGTATCTTATGTGTTTTAGTTAAATATTTTTAAACTCAAAAATAATGCTGTAGTTTTAAAAAAATAACAATAATAAAGTAATTATTTCTTAATAATAGTTTGTATATTGGTTTAAAATAAAATAGATATATGACTAGGATATATTTAACATACCACCTACTTATATTTATTTATTAAAATGTCAGCATACCTGAAAGGCATCGTTGATGCTATGCATTCGCAGTCTTTCCCTCTCATTGCTTTCTAGTCTTCGAACGTTCTTGTCTTTGCCACTGGACTTGCGCTTCCTCCGATTGCCGGATCTAATTGCCCCACTTCCGTTCCGACCTTGTCCGTCCGACCCGGTGCACGTATCATCGCTGATCTGCCATAGATCAATTCCACTAAATATTCTTTATAGCGTAAACACAGAAATACATTCGACGTGCGAGGTAAAAAAAAAATTAACTTACCGACGACGAGTCGGTAAGTTCGAGTTCCCGTTGACAAGACGTTCTTGAGGACTTGCGACAAGTCATCCCTGCCGTCATTATGCTGCTCCCAAAGTTCGATTCCTCGACATTGTTCCGTGAATCTGAACGCATCTCTGTCGTAAAAAGTCTTATTTATTTATAATGCATTATATGTAGGTACTATATGTGTTATTATTGGATAAGCTAGTGTCAAAAGACGAATGTCGATATAATTTTGAATATGAAAACTGGAAATGCAAATAAACAAGTTATGTCACAATAAAGCAATAATAAAATCGGTAAAGTCGCTCTGGTTTATAGTAAGTTTAGAAGGTATCTACACCTATTCGTAGTTGATGTAGGTATCTATCTAATTAGAATTAAATTATATATTGCATACGCAAAATGGTTCTAAACAAAAATAATTAGCTGATACAACCTATACTTCAAAAGATATATAATCTATATTATACTTATATTATGTATAAACAACTTCATTTTTAAAAATATTAAGAGGACTAGCTCGCATTTATTTTCTCCATCTTTCAAGTGTGTAATATAACAAATTTAAGCTTAAAAGTTTAAATTTAGCTTCATTAGCTTTAATAGAAGACTGAATTGTGACCTATATTATGAAACTTAGTAGTAAGAACATAATCAGTGTTTATATGTTGGTTTTTTACGGTAATTTTGTTTTTAAGCAAGTTATGAGCATTTTTAAACTATATTATTCATTATTTTGTTTACATAAAAGTTGATAAAAAGAATTATTGTAAAAACCAACATACGAACATAGATAAGGTTCTTACTATTAAGTTCTTTAATAGATCGATTAATTTTAATATTAAAGTTAACGAAACTAAACGGAAAGTGTTAAACGTAGATTTTCAGTTTCGCATTTGTAAGACTTAGACAATCATTGCGAGTATAGCATCCTTTTAGCGGATAGCTTACTTTGTAAGTTACCTTATGACACAGCTTAGTAATTCATCTGTTATTCGAATACAAAATGTTAAACATATTTTTTTCAAAACCATATATCAAATTATTAATAATTCTAATTTTTATAATTTATAAATTATATCGGCGCATAGTAGAACCGTATAAATTAACTAATGATAATGTGGTATAAATAACTTAAAATTAGTTTATTTCCGTTAAATGGTGAAAGTTTCAAGTCTATATGATAAATATATTTTGAATTACAAAGTAATCACTAAATTCGTCAAATAAAAAATAGTTATTTTTCGTTTTTATAACTTTATATGTTCCTAAAAAATATATTTTTAAATACTCATAAAAAGCGATATAACAACAACTGTATGCTATATATATATATATATATTTTAATTTTAATAAAAGTACCGATGATGGATCTATATTAAATAGTAAAGTTTTCGATAATAAAATTTAAAATTTCATAATTTTAACTGTAAAATAGTTTGAAATTTAAGGTTTCAAAATGTTAAATGTAATTTATAATTAAGCTGATACAAATATGTATTTAATACATAAAAAAGTTTATGGTAAATAAGTATCTATATATAACGTAGTCTCATTGAATTTATGTACTTGACTGAGAATCAAAATCAAGCTATTATAATTTCACTTGAATCTTGGAATATCTGATGGTTTTTAATAATAATTTAATTTTCTACTTTTGGTAATTTGGTATAAGTTATTATTTATTTTTTTCATACATAAAATCTTGTTTGAATTTTTTTTAAACAAACAAATCTTATTAGTATTCATAATATTTTCCATAAATATAATGAACATTTTTCTATTTATACTTGAAAAGAAATATATAGGTAATACTTGTTTTGAATTTTTAATATTTTTCTAAAAAATTTCAATTTAAAAACAAACCTATTAATTTAAACCCGTTCATCAAATAAATTAATTTCGTTCTTGATGTGCTGAGATAATCATGTAAAAATGTATGATACATTTTACACATTAAGCTTAATGATATTTACAGCTTCTGTGGTCCATTAGTTACAACATTTCAATAAATCTTAGTAAAGCAGACAATACATGATGAGAAAATAGATGTAAAAAATAGATAAAAATAATACTTTCATTTTTAAAATTTTGTTAAATAAATAATTTAGTTTTAGAAAATTACATTGATCATAATATTAATTATGATTATTATGCCAATATTTCGTTGTTATCATATCGAACGCGACTAACGCGAATGTATTATTATTATTATTATAAATAGTATTATACGCCATGTCACCACCTAATGGTTTTAATTGATGTTGTTATTTCGGTTTTACGTTTTAAAACAGTTATAAATCATAATAATAAACATCCAGTATTCAGTGGATAGTATACCTTTCTTATGAGTTTATTTTTACATTATAATCAGTTTAAACAATGCTACGTAATTAGTTTAATTCTCTCACTCGCTATAGCTATGTTATTTGTGTTTGTTTTTACGAAAAAAATCCCTTTGACGTCTAATGTAAAATGATATTATACAATCAACGGATGATGTAAAACTTTTTCATCTTTAATGGTATTATATTCGGTTGTTTTTATTTTTAATGACTTTAAAAGAAGTATCTATGTGTATTATTTTAGTAGTTGCATATCAAGGTAAAATAATAAATTAATTATATTTTATATTATTTAAGTACATGCAAACTATTTTAATATTATATAGTTTATTAATTATTCATTTAATATGTTTAACGTATGTTCATAATATTCAAAAACGTCAATTACATACTATATTATAATTAAGTATATATTTATTGCAACCATGTAGCTTTAATAAAAAGAGCTCAACTGTTGTGTTCAATTAAAATAAAATTGGGTACTATTCATAAGAAATAAGTATAATAAGTTGCTGGAAGACGTAAATAATTATTTGTTGTCATAAAAGACATTTCATATGACTAAATTTTGTTGCAGGAACTATGAGATGTAGCATACAGATTCGATAATTTTATTTCCAATTTACGTAGTGCGGTATGAGGAAGCAAAAAGATTTATTATTTTTATCATTAAGTAGTTTTTAGTTTAAGGTTTTCCTATATTTATTGAAAATGTATTTAAAAAATTTATTGTACTTATTCTCTTTTAAAATGATAAATGCTAAATATTTTTTAATAATATTATGCTGTTGAGTTCTGAGTAAAAACGTGATAAGAGTTTTTCAGATCTCCTATATAGTTTATAAAAGTCGATGTGTATATAGTTAGAGTTTATAAACTTAAAAATTATCAAATCAATTTGACAAATATTTTATAGATTGTTTTATATAGTTTATATTGTAATTTTAACTGTGTGTGATGTTAAACAACTTTTTTTTTTTTTTTTGACAAATCATATTAACTATAAACTACTATAATATTATATAAATTATTTCTAGTATAGTATTTTTGGTTTACTGTTGTTTTAATTTTTTGATAAACCGATATATCATTCAAAATCCTCAAATCAATAGTTTGATATATGAAAAACAAAACCACAATTAAACGTACATCAGATACTAGCACATTTAATTCTTCATAAAAAAAAAAAAAAAACTGAAACTTAAAATTTTCCTAAGTGAAATTATTCATTACTTATTATATTAAATAAAATTAAATCCTCAACCTCTTTCATATCAAGCAAAACTGTTCACGAGTGAAACCGGATAATTCAGTTAGTAGGTATGTTATAAATTTAAAATTGTTATAATTATTAATTGTACACTAAAATTGATACTATTGTTTCTTGATACTAGAGTTCACTTTTTATTTACAAAAAAATAAATAATAAATTTGAAAGCTAATTTGACTAATATATGTCTTGATAGTATACACAGACATAGGATATTTCATTAATTATACAGAGGTTTTACTAATTTTATTAGTTTGTTTAATGAATTCATTCAGAGACTTTATCAGTTACGGTATTGACTTTAAGCTAATAATTATTGTATGAAATAATATCGTATTAATTAAAATTAAATGCATGTCGTTTGTTTTTGCGCTTTTAGCAATAAATAGTTAAATCAACTGTATTACTAATAAAAAATAAATATATAATCACAATCGTTTTTCGTATGAAATGATTTATCATTGAAATTAAATTTAACACATCAGTGACCTAATCAATGATTAGGTACACTCGACACTTATTATAAAACAGTGAAAGTAGTGCATATTTCCTAATATTTTCGTTGTTATTTAAATAGTTTTAATTTCAGTAATAATGGTTGTAACAACAATGAATAATAAAGACAATTTTTCATCATAATTCATAACTTTTAACGGTAGAAAAATTACATTAATGTTATTTAGTTTGAATGAAAAGATTTTTCTATCACAAATTATGTTTTGTAATAATTTTATAAATCAAAAAAATGTATTCATTAATAAATAAATGATTTAATGTTAATTTCTAGTAAAGACCAAACCACCAAACTTAATAATTTATAGGTAAATCATAATCATACTACATTCTACTTGCGTGCGATGCTAAATTATACTTATCAATTCCTGTAACTACTCAAATTTTATTTCAATATAATATACCATATAATTTGAATCAGTTTGAAGCAAAAAAAAAAAAAAAATTGAGTTTTAGAAATTATTTTATTAAACAACACTTTATTTTATAATTTTATTTATTTACTTATACCATGTATAATGTATGTACATACGTATTAAAATTTTCAAAAATATATTCTATTGTAAAATAAGTAAATACAGTTTACGATTACAATAGTTATAATAATTTATGAACATATGCTCTTTATTGTACGTAGATATCTACGTTATAATTATAAATAACTTTTGTATATACAATAAATTATTTTAGTAATTTTCATATGTCGAATATTTCCAGTTATAAGCCTAAATTCAACTCAAAAATTAGAGTTAACGGAATTTGAGAAAATTTATCTTACATACCATACTTTAAATATAAGGTCAAGACATTTCTTTGAATCATTAAAAATTTGACATATAGAATTTTAAGTTATCGATGTTCCATTGTAATATAAATTTATTGTTACATAAATGTTTCAAAAAATATTCGTGATTTATATTACTCTACCTTGATAACGACAACGTGACATACATATTTTACTATATTTATTAATCGAATAAATAGATCTATCCCCCCATGATTG